ATCAGATCCAGCCCAAAGAGGGGAGAGCGCGTTCCCAGAGCGCCGTCCTGCCGCTGCCCGGTAGCAGCTGCTAATTAAAGACGCGGTGAGCGTCAGGAAGGTATTTGCTTTGTTCACCGCAACAAAACCGTTCCATTATTAAAGTGCTGCTTTCATAATTCAGGCTAAGGAGGCGCCTCGATTCGTGTTTGAAGATTAGTGCCCCAGACCGGAGTCATCTCGTAGGCACGCACCCCTCTGGCTGGGTTTGGGGTTTTTTAGCCCCGGGCATAACAACTGCGAGGGGTTTCTTGTCCCGTCTGGTTATTCGCCCCGATTTTGTGTTGGTGGGTGAGGACGAGGATTGTTTGGCTTGTGCTCCAAGAGGGGTCACCTCTGGATCACAGAGTGACCCAGTCCAGCATCAGAAATGCTGTCAAAAGGAGAACATTCTGTCCAGAGTTACAGGCAAGTAATAATGGGGGGAAAAACACGATGGAAAATGCTGAAGTCTCACACTAGCGGTTTCTGACAAGGCCTTTCCTTCCTCCCTGAATCGTGAAGGTCTTGTCACGTCTCACTCCTTGTGTTCTGGGGAGCTGGAGGCTGGTTTGTCATCGCACACAGCGCTTGCTGTGCTGCTCGGCTCGCTCCAGAAGCGCCCGTTGGCAGGGTTTGCCGGCAGCACCTGCTGCGGAGAGGCGGCAGGTGGGACCTTCCGTGGGGGGCGGGTGACAGGTCTCCAGCGTGGGCCGGTGGCAGTTGAAGAATGTCACTTTCTGGCTGTTCGCCGGAGAAGTTACTGCTCCCAAGGCAGGGCTTGGTGGGCAAGGCCGGCAGCATGGCTGGCAGGAGGGACCCCCACCCACTGGGGGTGAGGGCTCGGTGTGGGCAGGGGGTAGGCAGCAGCGTGCCGGCCTCCTCCGGAGGAAACTGCTCTCTCAGGGAAAGGCAAGCACGTCTGAGGCAGGACGAGAACAGAAATCAGGTGAGTGAAACGCCTGGGAAGGAGCAAACGGGCAATTCCTTCGATTGCCGTAGCAAATGCTCACTCCGCCGTCCCAGAGTAGCGCTTCAGTATTTGTAATCGTTTTTCCTCACACTGTTGAAGTACGGTTGGCTGTTCTCGAAAGCTTAAAGACAATTAGGTAATTGAAAAGACGGTCTTGATTGAGCTGGCAGCAGTACAGCTCATTTACAGGGTTTCTTGCCTCCATCTGTTGCCCATTAACTTCTGACTAAATGAACGGCGCAGAATGTCAAACCGTTGGGTCGCGCCGCCTGTTTTTTTATCAGTGACCTGCCCCCGCGGCACCCTCGCGACGGCGCAGAGCTCTCGGCACAGTGGTGGAGGGCTGTGGGTGCACCGGATCCGTGAGCCGCTCATTATCCGCCGGCGGCAGCCGGGCCAGCCGGGGGAAGGGCGGGCAGCGAGCGGTGCCCCGGTGTTGGTGCAACCTCCCCCTTAGGGCCGGTGTCTCCGAGCAGAGGTGCTGTCCTCGGAGAAGGCTGCCGGGTCGCAGCTGGAGGTTGGCTCTGAAGCGGCCCCTCCGGAGCGCTACAGCTGCACGCTCACCGTCGGGCCTGGCTTTCAGCTGGCCGGTATTTCTGTCGCTTCACGTCCCTGTACGGTGCCGCTGGGCTGGGCAGCAGAGCTCTGCGTGGGGTCAAGGGCAGGTACGGCTACAGGGGGAGGTGACTGAGCCCCCAGGAACTCGGCCTTGCCCGCTCTCCTGCTTGTGTACTGACCGGGCAGCAACGCACAGGACCGCAGGGCCGCCCTCCACCAGCCTCCCTGCGCAGGCTGCCAGTCACTGACTTTGGGCTTTACTGCACCTTTTAAGGGGAAAAAGACTCGGAAGAGGGTGGGGCAGCTTTCCTAAATGAAACCCTGTGGGTGTGTGTCCTCCGTAATTACAGCTCCCAGGGAGCTGCCCCTCAGAGCCCTGGTATCAGCAGCTGAGCCCCGGCGCAGCGGCAAACTACGGCGCTCAAAAACGTACACTAGGGTCACTTGACTTTAATACGTCTGTTGGTGGTGGTGCCGTGATGGAGCAGTTGGTCCCAGTCAAAGGAAAGCTCCAGACCTCCCTGCGGTACTTTTTTCCTCTTGTTCCTAAGCACAGGAATTCCCCCTTGGAAAGCAACAACCCTGTACAAAAGCCGTTACTCAGAAGATGGCTGGTTTGTGCAACTATCGTTTCCTTCCCTCCAGCGCCTCACAGAACAGCACCAGCTGCTCCCGCTGGGCACCCTTGGTGTCGCCGTGCTCAGGTTTACCAAAAGGTGTAAAGGATATTTTTTCCTGCAGGCTGGACACGGTCCCTGGCAGGTATCGTACGGCCTGGTGAGGGAGTCTGGCGCCGAGCCTTTGGGTGGGTCAACCTGAAATCGCAGCGAGGTGGCCACGCGCCCGCTCACGAGGACCTCACGCTCCTCATCCTCACGTGTCCTGGACCCCAGCAGCCTGAGCGTGACCCGTCCCCCCGTCCCCGTTCCCGAGCAGGGAAGCACAACCCGTAGCAAGGCGAGAAGCTGCTCTGTGAGCTGGCAGCGAGCGAGG